AAAAGGAAAAGATAGCAACTTCCTTTCGTTTTCTTTCTTCATTCAACGACATCGTAGATCGTTGTCACGTGAATTTTAGGGTGTGTCCATCTCTTGAAAGAAGTAATAAGGGCTGATCGGTATTCACAACGCGTCCGCCACAAGACATTCTTACGTGCACTTCGTAGTCTGCATAATGCAGGACGCAGTATAATGCACCCATTGCCAGACGGAAACTCGCGCGACACGTTCCGCGTCGCGGGGAAGGCATACTTTTCGATAAACGGCCACTTGTTCTCCTTGGAACTAACGCTTTCTTTGTTCCTCACCGATGTCGCACAGAATAATAAACCATCCACTTCGTTCACCTTCCTTGCTCTCGTGAAAGACATTTAAAAAAAGCGTTCTAAAAGGTTATGATTTTTGTAGAAAAATTTTTGAACAATTATGAAAAGTTTATGCATTTTAACAATGGTAATAAATTTAAATAAATTACAGAAAGTATATATGCCCGGTAATTACGACACTGAATTAATTAAACAAATTTTTTTGTTTAAAAATAAATCGCATATAATAAGTTTTTATTAAAATGATTTATAATATTATACATTGTAAAATAAATTATTTCATATGATCAGTTGTTATAATTACAGGACACATATATCGAATCAAATCATCGATGCAATTGTGATTAAATTTCAATTTCGATTTTGTTTCACATTACTATTGAACACTGTAACGTACATTTGTAATTGATAACAGTTATCATTGACAAAGGTAATAAAAAAGAAATATAAGGAATAATATCGGATATCCAAGCCGTGAATCCTGAGGCGTTGGAATATTTTGTACGCCCGTAGTCGAGGTATCACGACACCTCGACCATTATGCATAATACGCGGGGTAACATAATGCGGCTATTGTTAGAAAAGGGAAGAACGGTCTTTCTGTGTGTATCGTTTTATCTCGTTGTGTGCCGCTAAATACAAGCTGAGCTCTTCAGGAACAAGTTATACACGGCCCGTTTAATACTCATTTGCATGCATTCTATTGTACAACGGCGCTTATATGCTATATTTATGCAGTCATCGTATATACATAGAAAGACGAACAAACTTTCAATTCCAATTTACATATACGTTCATGTTATATTATTTAGAAGAAGTAAATGGTTACGTTGCTAGTCTTTTCGATTCCATTTCAACTTATTTTTATTCCTTTTTTATAAATATTCTTTTCGATTATTTTATAAATATCAAATAACATTTCTAAATTCACGCATGTATTGTTAAAGGCATTCATAAAGCGTTATTACCTAAATAAAACCTAAATAAGCATCGTTATCGCTCGAATTATCGTATTAAACCAAATGGTGGCGATCGAAAATAATATCTCGAGTTGACGCATCAAATCAAGTGATGACCGAGAGTAACCTTCCGAGTGCAAAAGGTTAATTATACTTTATATATTTATATAAATTAATATTTACGACAGATATATATATATATATATATATAACTATATATATATATATATATATATATATAGTTATAGTTTAATACAATTACAAGTAACCACGGTTTGTGGGCAATTTTTAAAACTAGATCGTGATAACGAACGTGTAAAGATAAAAGGTGATTATTGGATACATCAAAAAGCCATTGAACGAAGAAATTGTTTTTTTCTTTTAATCTTATTCTTAACTAACTGAAAAAAAGGAAAATATCGTCAGACTGCTATAAACAAAAGAAAGTCGAAGGATACGGGGCGATCGTTAAACGACGAGTTTAACTCTTCCTGCTTCTTTGAAGATCCTGTCGGACGAGGAGTTAATGAAGCTATTGTCCGCGACGTCCATTCGTCGGACGAATGCGACGAGTAATTGGCAAAAGATATCGGCAAGCAGCCAGCCCTTTTCTCATCTTCCTTATTCTCTTCCCCCTCTTGATCCTTTTTTTTATTTTCTTCTACTCTTTGACTTTTCTTCTTTTCTTGCCATCTTGTTAGCCGAAAAAACTCACGGCTCGATTCTTGACAGCTCTTGATCTATGGTTCCTACGTATTACTGTTTCTGTCCTGCTCTTATTTCCTCTTTCTTTCCTCAACAACACGTCAACAACTAACCACTTAGGATCTTTCAACTCATGCTCAAACTTGCACAACATTTCTTGCTACCATAAATGGTTAAGACGTACGAATTCTGGTCCTCGTTGTTCTCTACCTTGTTCGACCCACGATCTCTCGAAGACACATACAAAAGCCTTACTCTCGTTTGATTACCAAAACTGGTAGACAATCATTTTGAAATCGTTCTCATTTTTATTTACATTTAATATTTCATTATTTGAGTTTATAATAAATATATATGTTTCTTGTTTTTTTTTTTTCTTTTTTCTATACCATTTGGATATTCTATTCGTTTAATATTTATAGTATAATACGATATGAAAGTTGAAATTTATTTTTAATCTTGTCGTCGACTCATAGTTTTTCTATGGATTAGATAGCAAACGAATTAGTTAATGCCTTTTAAATATATTCCTTTTACTTTGATTTCGAAAGGTAATTTATAAATGGACTTTTGTTATATACTTATTTATTCATAATGTCTGTAGACTTAAATCGTAAGAACGTAAATTATACGGACTTAAGATAACGAGTATTAAATCGACGATTACTAAACATCACTTTACTAGAAACGATCATTACAAAATTCAAGGGAATAAGCAAACATCCTGTCGTTAATGTTTTAACAATAATATTCAAGAGAAATCGTTCGAACGTCAGCAACCAAATATGTTATCAGATTGATTGCCAGAAGGAAATTATTAAATATACTGAAAGTATAAGCGATCAACCAAATATATGAACGGACGGAGTTGTTGGTTTTCTTAGATATAACCTTGAGAAAATAACAGCCCTTTTTATTTTCTTCGTTGAGTTGAAATTAATAATAATTAACTCTAGCTGTCGACGAGCTCGTCAAAACCAAGTTCTCCGGTAAAGTGACAAACAATTTTATTGTACGTTCCATTCTCACGGTGAATTCTCAGTAAAGAAGTTCTTTAAAGTTGACTAAAACGTAGCTGCGACGAATAGTCGAGTTTGCTTCCACCTTTTCCCGCGAGCCGTTACGTCGAGTATTAATGGTGCAATTAAGAAAACGACTTAGGAACTTAGAGAAAAAAAGACCAACGCGAATTACGTTTACGGGAATTTATCTGAGGATCATGGAAAAACGGAACATCCTTTAACGCGAGAATAAACTTAGAAATTCATCGAATATCTTCATATTTATAACCATTAACGTCGAGTTCATTTAAGATTTGTTTTTATCTTAAAATTAGATTAGTTCAGAAATAGGTATTAGCGAAGCGACATTTACGATTGGAAAAAAGATAATCTCATTTCTATGACATAAACGATAAAACGCTTATATTTTATCCATCTTTAAAAATACATATTGTATTTATGTAATACAATTAACAGCACGAAAGGGGATCATTCAAACGTTCGCATATTCGATTAAATCGGTCATAAATTGTTATATGATTTAATTATACCACAGTATATATGACTTTTTGTTCGAAGTTATAATAGAAAAGTAATTATGAAATGAAACTGTTAGATCAATGAACATAGTCTAGACCATGAAATGATCTTCGAGAAGAAGATATTGAAGAAATTTTAGGAAGAAAAACGTTTAAATCCTTAGACGAGATTTCTATCACCCTTTTTGGATAAAAGTAATATACTGAAATTACGGGTGTCAGGATAATTAGTTAGGAATAAATGATCGGTAATTTTGTATCCTTAGGTAACACCTGTGATGGTGGTATCCCTTCTTGGTACCTCTCGAACTCTTCTTCCATAGACCGTGGTGTTGACTTGTCACCGTGCGACAGCTGCATCGAGCGTTTCCTCTTCGTCCTTGCACCTGTCTTCCCTAGGGCCATTACGCACGAACGTGCAGCTTGCGGACGTCCGTAGAGGGAAATCACTTCGTACTCCTCTTCTTCTTCTTTTTCATCTGCTTTTTCCTCTTCATCATCGTAGTCTCTTGTATTCTTCTAACGTTCTTCTAAAGATCGCCAGGATGATTCATACGCTTTCTCGCGCGTACCATGTTGTTCGAATAGAAACAAAGAAAAGAGAAGATAAATAAATAACGCGACAAGAGAGAAACGAAACTCGAGCATAAAGCTTAGGAAAAGAAATTGCAATGGCAGTGACGTTATTGGCAAGCGTTGTTAAAAGAAAGAGAGAGAGAGAGAGTAAATAAAAAAGAGAGAGAGAGAGATAGAGTAGAATAGAAAGGTAACAAACACGAAATTATATTATTTATTTCGACTTCTATTTGCCGATCGTCCGCGCCATTAAGTCGTAGAATTTATCGTTCTCTTAATCTGCGACTATATTTTACAATGGCCGATATTATCGAGAGGGAAAACGTATTGCCACGTTACGAGATATTTCAAAGGTTCTCCACGGGTTGCAAAGATTTTCTACGTTAATCCTGTTGCCTTCTTCTCCTCTCTTTCTGTCTGTCTCTCTTTTTCCCTTCACTATTTTATTTTTGTTGTTGTTAGCGAACGAAACAGCCACCCTCTCCCTTTCCCGCTCCCGCCAATCCTCTCCCGGTGACAAACCGATCGCATAAAATAGCTTGCCATAAACTTCATTTGCATAAGCCGGCTTGTCGCTGTGCACGAACCAAGTCTATAGTCGCAGACGAGGTATATGAACGAATGATAGTTAAAAAAAAAAGGAAAAGTAAAAAAGAAACAAATGCAAAAGGATATTTCGGTGAAGATAATCCCTGTCAGTACATGACGATATAAATACCATATTCTTACTTTGACGTTTAAGAAAAAATCAGAAAAAAAGAGTATATTAAATGAGAAAATAAGAATGTGATATGTTAATCAGAAAGGAAATAATTTGTGTAATGGTCAAAATCTCAATAAATTATTGTTAAAATATAAAGTAATAATAAATCGTTCGCATATTTCGCTTTTCAGTTTTGTTCAAGAATTTGCCTCACCACCAGCAGATGGTATAACTTTGTTATTGGAGACTCTTCGTGGAGTACAACTGGCTCAAAGTTCACCGCCAACATCCGGACAGGTCGGGCCAAGGGTCGGTACCAGAAGGGCTGCTTTGGATGAGTTGGGATGCGTCGAGTGTTTGGCCGCCTGCGGTGAAAGATGCGCTGATGCACCACGGCTACTGGTGCAAGCTCAACCTGGGCTTCTTGCTCTGGCGGTCTGTCTGACCAGCAGTCTGAACCGGTCTCGAGTTCTGGCTCTTCAGGTAACAATCGTACCCACCATCTTTTGCGATCTTACTCGATGCTTACCGTTATTTTAAAAACAGCTGGCCGACGCGATAATCTCTTACAAACGCGAGAGACTATCCACGTAAACATGCCTTTGAATGATCCTTAATCCTAAAAAAAGTAAAAATTTAAATCGAGTGCTCAATCATTTCACACTTAACGTTCTACCTTGGTGATCTCTCTTATCCCACTTATTGCTTATTCTTGAAATTGAAAGAGGATCTCTCGTACGGAATCAAAATATCCTTATTTGAAAATACACATTTTACCGTTAACATACTTACTGTCGTAATTTCATATATATAATAATTTATCGCAATTAATTCGGAATTTTGTTTACGCTTGTTAATGCAATCAAAACCAACCGTAGGCATATATTACATTTATTCTTATTTCTTATACCTATAATCTCAGGAACAGATTTACCATTCATCGTGAACACAGCTACGTTAAATAGATATATTTCGGTATGGTAAGAAAAGAATTTGTTTCAACGTTATAAGGATCACGATAATTTATTTAACTCGTATAAAGAAACTATTATTGAAGGAGAACAAGCTTTTTTATTTGATATAAATTTAATCCCATCCAATTAAAATCGTCCTAGATTAAGATCATTTTTGACTTGACCCATTGAGCCGCTCGTAAACACGAATTTTAGGTAACGGAAGGAACCCTTTACTCGATCGAACTCCGTTATTTGAAGAATATATATCTTCTACGGCAAAACCAGTTTTTATCATTTCCACCGTCAAACGTTATTCGGTCGAACGCAACGGTTTCATTTGCAAGCATTTATACAACCGTCGACCGTGTCTTCTCTTCTTTTCTTTTTTTTTATTTTCTTATATACTACACTGCGTATCTTTACTTCAGGAAGTACCTACGTACTCGTTAACCATGGCCAACCGGAGCATTCCAATGCTTATCACAACTTAACTAAATGAAGCAAGTAATCGTTCGCGCGACAGGTTTCTAATCACTTGTTTAAAGGATACAGAGTAGTTGTGATTAGAATATATAAGATCAGCGATAATAAGAATGAAGATGAGTAGAAATATTGTAATAACTACGCTGTAGACTTTGGTATATAGAAAATAAATTACCGAAAGAAAAAAAAATATATATAAAAGACTTCTAATGGTTATAAAAAATAATCGTAAAAAATGTAGTAATTGAAACTAACGCTTATTTGATAACTTAAGATGTTTATAAGTAGTTTATCAAGAAAAAAAGGAAAGAAATTAATCGAATTTACAGTTGCTGACGAAGGTATGTCAGACTGCAAGTGGACACGCCGCAGTTTCTGAAGCTGTTTCCACGTTGAGGTTAAAATACGGCGAAGGTGGAAGGTTTAGATTTTTGGCTGGCGCACTTCTAGCTCCCAGAGCTGCGATTGCTCTGAGAGTGGCAGGAGTATCCTTCTTGAATGCCTTTTTAAAATCAGCACCTCGTACACAAACAAGATTATACATTCAGGTAAGAATAATAAAATGTTTGTTCATAGAAACTGAAATACGAACGTACAACGTGTGATAAATCATTAAATATTAATAGATAAAAATTTATAGGAAAAAATAATATTTGTTTATCTTCATTAAACATATATTTTCATTGACTAATAAAATGTATATATTTAAATGAAAATTATTTTGTAGGCGGAGGCCTGCGAAGCTGGACTAGAGCCGCAGGTACTCCAAGAATGGTTGAGAGAATCCGACGGTCGAGAGGAAGATACATTGACTGATCTTTTACGAAAGGAAGTCCAAAAATGGGCACAAAATTGTGTCGATGTGGATGCCCTACAACGAAGGGTTCTACGTGCCGAAGAGACTTGTAGAATTTTAAGCAAGAAGGTTTCTGCTTTACAAAATCAACTTGAGAAATTACAAGTAGAAAAGCTTAACAATTACAATGCTGAGAATCGTGATAATATGTCTAGCGGAACGATTCTAGGAATTAATAAAACGCAAAAGGTATCATCGAATGCGGAAGACGAAGGTATCAGTTCATCGGAAAGATCGAGCAGTCCAGAAGACATAAAGCATCAATCTCAGAACGATCACCAAAAAATCACGGCAATTCAAGACAACGATCAGGAAACAACGATTGATGACGTTATCGAGGAACTTAGGATTATCGTGAAGGATGCCGAGGAAGAGTTCAGCGACAAAAATCAAGAAAGATCTACAGAATTAGATTCAAATGATCCTGCTTTTGTAAAAAATTCTCTCTTCAGACCAAATTCAAAACATTCTTATGACAATTCGGAAGTCTGTTTGTACGAGCAAGTATCAAAACGAGAACAACAAATTGATCGAAAGATATTCAATTCTAATACTGCTTCGAATAATGTCTTACAAAATCGTCAGGAGAAAGGTGAACAAGTGACTTATTTTGGTAACGATCGTGATTACAGCGATAATTCGAGTGTCACTAGAAGACTAAGCTCGGATGGATCACGAAGGATCTCAAAATCTTCATTGGAGGGTAGCGTCAAGATAGTCGTCAAGGGACCGGATGTCGAAGATGCTATAGTTCCGACCATTCTTCATCCGCAACCACCGCGAAGAACACCACCATGTTTATCGGCACTAATGGCGGTGAGACACTGTAATTTTGCCGATCACAATGAACCTTACAACTCTCAAGACGAAGAACTCGAGGAGGAAACCTTAGGCGATGGCAGTGATTCTTTGTTAAGTGCTTCTAGATTGAAGTACAATGAAAAAAATCAATCCTATGAGGAGCACATCAGAGAGACCGCTGTGGTTGAACATTTTCAAAAGAGATCTACGACTGGTATGTTGTCTAACAACATTGCCGATAAGAGTGCCAAATTCAGAAAAAGTTTCGATGATCTTCATCATTTTGGAAATAATAAAAGTAATGTAGAAGGAAAAACCATAAGAAATTATGAGCCTTCTATTTCATCTAAAGCACGATTACAAGCTGAAAGTGGATCGATTAAACAGGTAGATGCGTATAAGCAATATGAAACGTCTTCTAAAGTATTGGATTTCTCAAAGCATCAAACAGATCGTCAATCTTCCGTTCATCGACATGGTTCTAAATATAAGAGTGAGGTAGAAAAGAGGAAGCTTTTACGCCGATCAACCAGTCATGATTATCTAGATTCAAATACGTCGACGCCTCGTTCGAGAAGATCGACAGGAAGTCGAGTGGAATGTCGTATTAGAAAATTTGAAAGCTTAAACTCGTTCGATGAACATCGTAGCCTTCAAAATTACGGAGGACCTAGCAGTACGGATAATTTACACAAGGAACATCGTTCAATCACAGAAGATTTCTCCAAGTCCAAAATGCGAAGATCTGAATCCTTTCATCATGTATCCCATATCGCTAGAAAAGATCAATGCTCTTCGAGAGGCGGAAGCGACAGTGGTTTGATTTATATTACGGATTATAATCTAGATCCACTCGTAACTCGAAGACCACGTTCTATAGAAGCACCCAAGTCACCCAACTTGCTTACAAAATCGTTGGATAGAATCGACGAAGGCTTAGATTCAATGGTTAATATCGTTATAACGGAAGAGAAGAACGAGTGGAACGCAAATAGACATCAACCGAAGTCAAATAATATTCGCAATGATAAACAATCGATAAAAGTTAAATCCAATAAATTGGATAATTCGAAAAATAATTATGCAGATCGTGAAAAGCAAAAAGCTAGAAGAGAGGAATCAATGGTAAGAAACAAGCATTTATTAAATGATGAATTTTATAATTGTCATATAAGCAATAAACAATTAAGGAATGATGAATTGTATGAAGAACAGAAAACTCGCCAATGGAATTATCAAAAGGAATTAGAATTAGCAAGGAGGGATAATGAAATGAATTCTGAAACTACACCCATGGGATTATCAAAAACTGAATCCAAACATAATTCATTTGGGCAAAACAAATCAATCGTCAATAGGTTTTCAAATAAATCAAATAATACTGGTATTTTCGCTGGGCGAACCTATGATACTTTTGGACTTGGCAAAAACCGATTCAACGCAGGAAAGTATTCGGGTGATCAACGGATTAAAGATAATCCATTGGCAAGACGAAATACTACTTCATCCGTAATTGGTAAACGTGGTAAGGTTACTGATGTTGTTTCAGGTCTATATTGAAATCATTAGATCGATGTTTTCATAAAATTTATAAAATTTAAGTAGCGATTGCATCGAATCGCTGAGAAAATATTGTTTAATTGACCAAAAGAGACTAATATATTTTTTCTATATACTACTTATTATTAAAATTTGTAATGAACTTAACAAATCCTTGTGCAATATTTACAAATGTTCGCAGTATCGCTTAGAAATTAATTTATATTTATAAGCATTACAAAATTATGTGCATTCACATAAGATGATTACGGTGGTGATGGAGGGATCTCTTAAATGCATTGTGCAATATTTTGTTCTCATTGCAATCGTGTCTGCGTGCAGTACTGATATAATTACAACAAAGGCTGTATCTTATGCATATTTAAGCAAAAATGTAAATAACAGCTTGCGAGAAAATATAACATTTAAATATCTCATTTCTATAATTAAACAAATTTCGAGGATCATATAGGAGGATTCCGAGAAATTATTAAGTAGAATGACCAATAATTTCGATAACATGCTATTGTAACTTTGCTTTTAATTTATTAAATTTGCATTATTTAATGTAAAGAGGTTAAATCTCATAATTATCTGATATTAATGAAAGAATAACATTATAACTATACGTCATACCGTAAATAAGAAACAAATATTTAGATGATTGAATAACTGTAATATCAAACATTCTCACGATCTGTATATTCTATAATACTTTCTATACATGTAAGTTGACTTATTTAATATACATTTATTTGAACGTCATAGTGTTTTATTAAGTTTCGTATAAATCACAAGTAAGAAGGAAAGGGGTTGAAATTACTTTATTAATAACATATATTTCGATGCGTTACAATTGATCAGTCAAATAATAGGTAAGTAAAAGAGAGATATTAAGTAAATCATCTTGCATTTAATTATTCTAAATAATAAAATAATAATTAAATGAATAAAGATAAAAAAAAAGATATTTTATTAAAACTCCATTCCCCATGTTGATGATAAATGAAATAATATATTATATATGCAAGTGATAAGAGGAACAATTACACTTATCATATTATATAAAATATTTAATATTTATAAAAAAAAAAGTATAAGCAAATAAATTCGTTCGTATACTCAAATATAAATCAAAAAAATATTTTTAAAAATTTCACGAGATTCTACAAAAAACGAGTATACTACAAAAAAAAAAAGAATAATTGAAATATATTTGGGTAGAAATAATTACATTTCAACTAGCCGTAGCATGTAACAATGTGGTTGTAACTTCGCTTAGTTCATGAGCGGATGATCGATTATTTCTATGAACAACTCCTAAATTAGTTAACAATAATGACTCGTTACTTTTACCTTTAGATAATTCTAATAATTGTCGGGATGATTTATCTAAAAGTATAAAATCCATTCATTACAGCTGATAATTTATAATAAAGTACAATATATCAAATTTGTAATTATTAAAAAATATCAGTTCGTAAATCATTAAATTACCTTGACTTGTTGATAATAAGTACGAAAGTTCTTCTTGAGTAGAAACATACTGAAATTCTTCACCGCAAGCACCTTTTAATACGGCAACAACATCGGATCGTGGATTAAAGAAATACAGGCTTTGCTTGCGATTATTAAATTCGCCGATTAGCGTTGCTATGCCCTAAAATATCGGAAAAAAATGAGATACTGTGATCTTTATATAATATTTTTCATTTCCTTAGCAATATTTTACCTTGGCAGCTGTAAAATCTGCACCTAGGACATATCTGCAATCAACGACCACTGGCAATTGACTAGAACCTTCTTTTACTCCTGCATCACCAACAGATTGTTTAATAAAATCTACAGCAGGAAAATATAAACTATTTCCTGGAGTAATTAAAAGATATTCCGCACCAGAGTCGGTCTAAAAAATAAAACATACAAACCTATTGATATACCTAACATTCATTGTTTACTGCAATAACAATTCATAATTAACTTTACTCACGTTACACTTATCCACATGTACACTTGGTCGTGCAGACGGATATAATAAAAATATCAAATTAGTCCCGACACCCAATAAAATTCCATATTCAACTCCAATGATGAGGCAAAAAAGGAAAGTTACAAACATCGGTATGAGATCTTTCTTGCTAGATTTCCACATGAGTTTCACGACCTCGTACTCGATCATGTATATAACGGCACAAATAATTACTGCAGCTAATGATGCTAAAAAAAAGTTAAAATGTAAGTATTGTAGTTGTAGTTGATTGACATAAATAACGATTATAAAAACGTATATTATTAAACCTTTTGGAATAAAGTAGAAATATGGAGTGAGAAGACTGAGAGCCAGTAAAATCAGTACACCAGTGTAGAGACCACCCATTGGTGTTTTTACACCGCTAGCATGATTCACCGCGGATCTACTAAAGGATCCTGTAACGGGCATTGCACTGGCGCAGGATCCAAGAAGATTGCAAATCCCCAAGGTAAGGAGTTCCTGCGTAGCATCAATTTTTCCCCCATTGGCGAATGCTTTCGCAATAGCTACATTGCCGAGTACTCCGATAATTGGAACTAATAATATAGACGTTCCTAATTCTGAACACATTTCCATAAAGCCAATGGTACGATTGTTAACATGAGTTGAAAATGGTGGTGAACCAAATGATGGAAGACCGGATCGTACTTTGCCAGTTAAAATAAAAGGATTATTAGACTCGGACGTGTTCAAATTGTAAGCAATTATTGAACAGATAATGACGATAATAGCGTTTCGTGCTGTTGAAAGCATCCATATTGTTTTAGTCAGTATTCGTTGACAGGTTGATGCTTTTTTTTGATCGGAACATAATTTAATGTCCTTCATTTTCTATAAATAAAATGTAAGCAAATAAATAAACATTCAATAAGAAATAACGAACAAATGTTCTAAAAGATAAGAGTTACCCTAAACGATAACAGAATGATAATACAAGTGAAACTCATCACAGTGTCCCAAGGACTTATCTGGTAAATATTTTGAAAGACTTTTATCAAAGTATCTAAGAATCCTACGGATGTAATCCTTAATCCCAAAAGACCTTTTAATTGAGAAGCTACTATGATAACAGATGTTGCCGATGTAAATCCTACTGTCACTGGTACAGATATAAAATCGATTAAGACACCTAGAAAAATGAAATGAGGATGGTATAAAACAAATATCTAATAAATATTATTCTCTCGTAACAAATTATCACCTAAATGCAAGCAGGCCATTAGTAGTTGTAAACATCCGGTTAAAAATGCAAGAAGAACAGCAAAATCTGGACTTCTTCCTTGAACATATTCGTGGGTCATTATAGCCATAAGTGCTGTTGGACCGATGGTAATATCTTTACAAGAACCAAATATAACGTAAACCATAGCACCGATAAAAGCGGAATAGAGCCCATACTGTAAAAAACAAAATGCAATTGCATACTCAACTGTAAAGACATATATAAACATTGATTTCAAAATTCACGCAATTATATTCAAGTGGGGTATGTGTACATTCATCTCACGGATCAGCAATTACAGCAACACAAATCGTTAATGGCCTTTTTATCTGTTAATAAAATAAAAATATTCAATAATAATTTACTTGAATTTTACTTGAAATCGAGATAAGAGAATTAACCAGTTTTACGAATAAAAAGCAATCACGATTTACCAAATATAATGATACACGTAATAACATATACATATATTTCTTAATGGTAATAAATATATATAAATTATGTGTCACGTTGTTTGTTCGCAATGGACTCCTAAACTACTGAACCGATTTTAATAAAATTTTGCACACTGTGTGCAGTTTCATCCAACTTGAAAGATAGAATAGTTTATATCTTAATTTATAATCGCAATATTATTTTATTGCGAATTATTTGTTGTTTATTAACAAAGTGTTATGATTATCTCTGTTAGTTCGATAAGATTTTTACAGATTGCGGTACAAGGTAATTCGTTGACTTAAAGACGTGTGTATCGGACTGATTGTGAGCCACAGCAACGCGTGGCAGGGCACCCCTAATAGTAATATATTCTTAATCCAGACTTTGTTATATAAATTATATGAAACATATATTATGTTGTTACAAGTATTACAGAATATGGAATGTGTACTATGAATTTAAAAAATATTTAATAAACCCGATTAGAAAATATTTATAATATCAACATAATATCTCGTAAATAAACGCTTTGAATTTCTCATACCAGATATATATATATACGTTATATATAAACTTTCACCGCATATATCATAGTATGGTTCCGTGCTTTAAAACGATCGAATCTGTCATTGTTAACGGAGTTGACGATATATGAGAAATAGTTTATATTATGTGATATGGTATTGTTTCTAGATCATATCATTTTGCATCAAATAGATGAAGCATATATGTAAAGTTTACTCAATAACTGGATAACATTATAAATCTGTTCCCTATTTTTAAGTAGACAAAAATGATAAAGGAAAATTTTAGATTATTTAAAAAACTTTATTATAAAGTGAATTTTTGCATGAGTGGATTGAGTACATTTACAATTTGTTTCTATCTGCAAAAGGAACAAATTTATAATTTGACCCACTTATGAGATGCATTCTATATAGGCATATCAACTTGTCATTGTGAAAATGCATAAAAATTCGAGTTAACTCATAGTCAAATGGAAAAATTTCATTCGCGTGAGTTAGAAAGGCGTAATGAGAAAATACAAAGGATGAGATAGCCATTCTTTCGTACCTGGGGTTCCAAGCCGGCTAAAGTCGCATAAGCTAATCCTTGCGGCATTACAGTGAGTCCAACAGTGACACCGGCGATCGCATCGTTGAAAAATTTTTCCGAATTGTATTTAGGTAACCATTCCAAGATCGGTATCCGTCTTTTCACAAATTTTCGGAAATATCTCCCGCATGATCTCGTTTTAAACTTTCTTTGAACTTCCACTGTATTTTCCGCCATACTACCTTCGAAATAAAATCGTTCATTGTATTAAATAATTTATCTACAACATTCCACGAAATATTCAAACTTTAAAATAAATTAGAACAAATGTGTATGAATCGTTAATAACAATGAGAAAAATTAAGAAAAATGTTTATTTCTACAAGCTTTTTAGCAAATTTTTTTATAAGAAACATGAATATATTTTGGAAATATGTAGAAAGTGTGCACAAGCGAAACATTTTATCTCATGGAATAACTGAAACTCTTTACTTGGGAATTTGTATTCATCGTTATTCATCGGCTACATAATTTTGCAATTGAAACAAACCTTGAAATATATGCATATTTTACTGATTATATATGTAGGATTATTGGGTTCTTATAAATGAAAAATAACACAAAATATAATTTTAAACTAAAAAACTTCTATATTTAAGTACACAAGGAATGGCACGTCTTTATCGGAGGACTGTTTCAAATGGACTAAAAAAAAGGAACAAAGGTGCACATCTATTAAGCTTATGACTCGCTCTCGATATCGGCGACATATATGACATCAGCTGATCTCCACAGCATGCAAGTTCATACGTGTTACAATAAACTATGGTTTTCTAGAAATCTAAAAAGAGAAGCAAAGAGATTGATTTTCGTTCTTAAATCTGAGTTACACATTCCAACACGCCCCCTCGAAAATTAATCCTCTTTAAAGTAACAAAACTTTTGAATGAAAACATACATGATTCAAGCTTGGTAACAAACTACTATTACTATTTCACAGACGGCTATTCCTTGTACTGTTGGGAAAATACATATGGTCCAGCATTCACTGCAAGGATAAGGAAAACCCAACCAAAACCTTATCAGACCATTCCAAAATCATAAAAATACATAATAATTATTGTTATTATTTATTGCATAAATTGTTTCTCCAGGTT